CATGAATTATATATAATGGTTAACACCAAATATGGACAAAAATCGAGTTACAGATGTGTTAAATTTTGAATTTTAGTTTATTCAAAATTGTTGTCATCTGACTGTTTGATCTAATCACAAAATTGTTACATGAAATATCTACATGTATGAGAGTAGGTGATAAGTTTGGAGAGAATTGGTCAAGGTATTTTGAAATACGAATCAAATCAGCGACCCAGCATGAGTAATGTCAATACCAAGTTAAATTAAACACGGTAAAGTTGTGTTTTTTTTCAACTAAAATGGTCATGATTCAGTCAAGAATCAACAAAACAAAAATTGATGCACATACAAGTCCCATTATGACTTGTCTTTGCCAAACTTTAATTGAACAAAATCAGTTGAGGCATTTCTAAAAAATAAAGTTGGACAGATGAACTACATCAATGGTGACTAAATATGATATGACTGAACATTCAAATATAATACACTTTAAGATGCGATTTGTGGTAAATTTCTAAAAAAAAATACTAACTTTGTAAGTCCCTTTATTTGCAGCCCCCTAGCACACTACATAAACCACACTGTGATAGAATTAAACACACTTGGTATCAAAGTACATACCTTGTAACATTCGACCAATAGGGGCAGCTATGTTGATTTCTTGTAAATATTGCATGGTTTCAGTATGAAATAATCTAATTGTTGCTTTATTTCGCATAGACACCCATACACCAATGCCTGCCTTTACCATAAATTGCACACAAACTCTGGCATCATTGTGAACATTGAAACTTGCCTAGAAAGCAAATATAGCTCATTAATTATTCATATATGAAATTTTATGTTATTATTATTATACATTATACTTGTACTGATAATGAAGACGCCATTTCATGTCTTTGTACAGTGTTTATGTTACAATTGCAATATGGTTGTTGTCATAGATACCAGGTACATTAGTATTTGTAATAACATTTCACAGAAAAATTCTTGGCCAAACTTCTTTAAGGATGTAGTAGACTTAACAGGGATGTTATAATTAGGCTTGATATTTTCATATAAGAATTGTCCTGAACTATAATAAACTGACACGTTTCTTGATTTGGGTCATCATTTGCCACGATCATTTTCTTGAGAAGCACTTGAGAAGCCAAAGAAACCCATTCTATAAAATTGATGGGTCTAAGTTCCGCCCATAAAACCCAATGCACGCAACGTGGCCTTCCCGATATGCACTACCAGCCTTAAAGAAGGTATGGGTTTAGGGGATCGGGACGGGGAACCCATGGAGCAGGCTGGGGCACCGCGTGAGTATCCCACACCGGGGATCCATCAACAGTTCGCGTAGCCCCAATGGGGTATCGATTCACCCAACAGAAAGCATAGGACATGGCCGCTCCAAAACCAGGTCAAGCTGTTTGTCCTTTTCTCGTGAAGGGTACCAATCGCCAATTGCTCTTTGAGCCCCCTCCATAGCTTGGGCCTTACCTTAACTGCAGATTAGTAAGGGTCAGCTGGGCTCCGGTTGGTTGGGTATCCTGTGACTGTCCGTCAAAGTGGTGACGAGATACAACAAAGTGCCCCCCTGCTGGGAAAGTGATAGCTGCACGTCATAAGAGGATTGCGTACCACCCTGTACAGGGGTACCAAAACTTGAGTCCCCTCCCTTCGCAGAGTCACAAGTGGGGGCACTCTGCGCGGCTTGGTGAGACACAGGAAGCGATGCCTGGTCAGCCTGAGCCTGAGGGGGGGTGGGGAATAAGAAAGAGGACGCCTAAGAGGATCTGCTCTAGGGAGAGGGTCCCCCCTCTATAAAAGAAGTGGACTTAGAAGGCAGTTGACTTGTGAAGCCAGATTACACATCCAGGCCTTCCAAGCCATCTCTTCACCATGGGAGAGCTTTTTTTATTTGGTCGCCTTGACTAGTAAGGGAAGGCAACAGGGTCTGTCCCTGTGCAAGCAACACAGGCTGAGTCGGTACCGATGAAGTCTCGGTGAATTGAACCGGTGCAGTCCCTAAGGGCCGTACCAATTCCACCTCGGTACTCTGTGTCAATGTCAGCGCCCCAGTGGCAATACGCTGTTTACCAACATCGGTAACCGTGGTGACTGGAAACTCCCATCCCCCAGCAAAAGCGGTTGAACGGTGTTTGTCCGCCTCGGTAACATCAAACAGGGAAACTAACTCCACGTTGGGAGAATTTTAGTTCCGCCGCCAGTGTTTCCAAGTTATCGACCGACGTCCCCGTTATCTCAGAGATAAATGGTTTTGAAGGTCTTGTCTCAATCGTTGATCCCGCTACATCGAGCAGAGAGTCAGATCATGACAACTCTCCAACAATCTTGGTTGTCGATCGGAGGCGAGCCTCGTAGCGATTACCAAGTGGAGGGTGAGATTTTTCACTCTATTTTATCGCAACTTTTACTAGCTTTTAATCGCTTGCCTTCAGCCTTCCACCTTGCCTCGCAGGTTGATTGCAGAGACCCTCTAGGAAATACCCCGAGTCCCTGACACAACCGATACATGAATGGCAACACATGTGCGGGTCCCAAACCGGCATTTGTTTAAGGCAGGATGAGCATGTATTACGTCCCGACTGTTGCGTTGGGACATTCTTCATCTTTTTTTGCGAAAATCACTCATATGCTAAGCTCTGCTCGACGAGGTCGACTGAGGAGCTAATAAAAAAACTTGACAGTTGGGCAACCAAGATGAGACAAACATTTTTTTTCAAATATCATTCCCTTCAACCACATTACAATCTTTGAAGTCGTCATTGTCCGTCTTTGTATAGTATTTTAAAATTGACAATTGAGTTGACATTACCTGTCTCTGTACAGTGTTTGCATTGACAATGAAGACACCATTACCACTTGCACACCACATACAATTATCAACCGGTAACAATGATAATACTGGAGCTACTGTTAACAATGACACATGAGGCTCTTCCAACAACCATACACCATCTGTGTAAAGACAAATAAGAAGTAAACTTACCAACCATATATCCAAACAGACAACACCTTGATTGCATCTATCCAAAAAGGCTACACCTTGATTGCATCTATCCAATCAGCTACACCTTGATTGCATCTATCCAATCGGAA